TCCTATATATATATATATATATATATAGGAATACGTATGTATATGAATACATACACACACAATTGGATGTGCCCCTTCCTGGTGTGGGGAGAGGGGAGACAGACCCTACTGTGGAGACAGTCTCAGGAGAAGTCACAGAATGGAACAAGATAGTCGATGGGAGCAAGGTGAGTTGGGAACCCAAGGGTGTAGTGAATACTACCTCTCATCATAGTGAGACACTCCAGGGAGTTGATGGTTTGTTGTGTGTGGTTTCTTTTTTTTAAAGATTTTACTTATTTATTTCAGACAGAGAGAGAGTGTGAGCACAAGCAGTGGGGAGGGGCAGAGAGAGAAGCAGGCTCCTGGCTGAGCAGGGAGCCCGATGTGGGGCTTGATTCCAAGACCCTGGGATCATGACCTGAGCCAAAGGCAGATGCTTAACCAACTGAGCCACCTAGGTGCCCCAGGGAGTTGATGGTTAACTGTTAGTGAATGTATTTTGTCTTGCTCCAATATAGAGTGCTCTCAGGAGCTATTATTTTTGAAGGTTTGGAGGCAGTTTCAAAGCTTTTCTGCTCCTCTGTTTAGTAGTGACTTCTTAGGCCCAACCCAAAGAACAGCCAGTCAGATTCTTGTGGGGGTTTAGTTGTGAGTATAATTCCCCTATGAAATTGTTCTGTCTTGGGCCCTGGTCTCACCATGCCTTGTGGAAGAGGACCAGATTCCTGATGGGTTCCGTGTTGGAGGATCTTTTTTTTTAAAGACTTTATTTGTCAGAGAGAGAGAGAGAACAAGTAGGAGGAGTGGCAGGCGGAGGGAGGGGGAGATGCAGGCTCCCCACTAAGCAGGGAGCCTGATGTGGGACTTGATCCCAGGACCCTGGGATTATGACCTGAGCCAAAGGCAAACTCTTAACTGACTGAGCCACCCAGGCGCCCCTCGTGTTGGAGGATCCACTGCCCTTTTCCAAGTGCTGGGATTAGGAAGGTCATAGGAACCGTGAGTTGAAGATATTTTGAAGTTACTACTTCCCAGACCTGTCTCACCTTTTGAGCAAGCCTAGGAGAGAAACAAATGGAAATGAAACATAAAGCTAGTGCAAAGAGCTTGAGCCATGAAGCCAGACGGACTTGGATTTGAATCTTACCTCTGGCAGTTACAGACAGAAGGACGTTTGTTACTTAAGTAGTAGGGCAGCTATCTTGTGCCTATTTGTAGATTAGAGGTATGGATGCCCTACAAGGATGTTGTGAGGAGTAATTGAAATACGTACAAGGGACATCCAGATCGTGACCAAAAACATGTCAGTTTCCATCTTGCACATCCATCCTACAGATGTTTAATTGGGCATTTGCTCCATACAGTTCTCTGTGCTAGGTATGTGGGAGAGGCAGGATCAAAGAAGAAGAGGACCTATATTTAGCTCTAACATGTACACAAACAACAACAGAAGAACTCTATCCACACCAGTCTCCTTGCTATTTCTGGAACATCGGGCAAGCTCCTGGCTCGGCACTGGGACACTTGCTGTCCCCTCTTCCTGGAATTCTTATCTCCTACCCTTGACCTCTCTCCGATCTTCTATATTATCTTCTCAGCAAGGCTTTCCCTGATCATCCTGCCTAAGATGGAACTCCCTGGGGCCAGTGCTCCCCATCCCACTTCCCTGTTCACTTGTTTTTCCCTCTGATAAATATGTAGTTTATGTGTGTGTGTTTTCTGTCATACCAAGCTCGTCCTACCTCTTCAGTGTAAACACTCTGATTTCTTTACTGCTCTATTCTCAGTGCCTAGAACATTGCATGATGTAGGTACTTGATAAGTGCTTTTGGAATAGATGAATGATCAGATGACTTAATTTTAGCTGCAGGAAGGGTCACGTGCCAAGGTCCAGTGGCCAGAAGAATAGCAGGTGTGATAGGGACTGTAGTAGTTTCCTATGGCTGCTGTAACAAATGATCACAAATTCAGTGGCTTAAAACAACACAAATTTATTATCTTTTAGCAGTTCTGTAGGTCAGAAGCCTGAGATGGGTCTCACTGGGCAAAAATGAAGGTCCTTGGCAGGGCTACCTTCCTCTGTAGAGTCTCCCAGGGGGGATTTGTTTCCTTGACTTTGCTGGCTTCTTGAGGCTGCCTGTACCCCCTGGTCTATGGGTCCCTTCCTCCACCTTCTAAGCCGACAGTGAGGTTGGGTCCTCACGTCACATCACTGACCTCTTCTTCTGCCTCCCTCTTCCACCCTGAAAGACCCTTGTGATTCCACTGGGCCCACCTGGGGGGGTTCAGGACACGCTGCTTATTCTCAGGTCAGCTAACAAGCAGCCTTAATCCCACCGGCAACTTAATTCCCCTTTGCTGTGTACCCTAACATATGTATAGGTTCTGGAGACGGGGACATGGACATCTTTGGGGATCTATTATTCTGCCTCCTGTAGAGTCTAACAAGTGAGACATTTTGCCTAGAACCTAAGGCTTGAGCTGCCAGGAGTAAAATATAAAACAGAAAGATTTCATCCTAAACAGCCATGACTGTCAAGATTTAATATGTGGGGGAGCTCCTGGATGACTCAGTCACTTGAGCATCTGCCTTCGGCTCAGGTCATGATCCCGGGTCCTGGGATTGAACTCCCTGCTTAGCGGAGAGTCTGCTTCTCCCTCTCCCTCCACCTGCCGCTCCACCTGCTTGTGTTTTCTCTCTCTCTCTCTCTGTCAAATAAATAAATAAATAAAATCTCTCTAAAAAAAAGATTTAACATGTGAGCTTTACCTGGAAGGTGCTAGGAAGTTGCTTTGGAGTGAAGTGGTGGAACGGAGGCTTTAGGAGATGAATATGGACTTAGGGCAGGTATTTAAGACATTCATGTCTACCTTTTGTAAAGCAATTAACTTTCATTTCCCTCTCCTATGTATAGAAAGCTAGGTTCTTGTTTAGAATTTCCCCCCAAAAAAGTAGGGTGCACTTATATTGTCCTTTTAAGAACCACCCTGTGATATTATGTGCACAACCTGTATACGCAGAGACCCGTAAAGCCCTGCTACACACGGGCGCACTCACACAAGTGTACGCGTGTCCTCGTCTGCGCACCCACTGCCTCGCCCTGTTCTTGGCATCTCTTCTCCCCGGCTTTCCGTGGCCCTCTTTTTTTCTCTGCCTTGCCACCCCTGAGTGATCTGTATCTTCCTATCAGGCCTACTCTGGCAGTGGTTCTCACAAGAGTCATTGTATAAACATCCCCTAAGAGGCATGTAAAAATCTCCAGGGAGATCTCTATAGTTTGAAAAAGTCTGCCCTCCCTCACCTTTACCATGATTCCACCATGATTTAATACAACTTCCTCAGATGGTTCTTCTCCCTGAAACCCACTGAGAATTTAATAAATATTAAACACCTGGTTTTGAATGGTGTCTGATGACAGTTTCTTAGGCTTTGAGTAGCCTCTTGAAAGCAGTCCAGTAGAACTTTTCTATGATGATAGAATTGTTCTATATCTGTGCTACCCGATATGGTGGTGACAGCTACACGTGGCTATGGAGCTCTTAAAATGGACACACAGGAAAAATAGAGGACCTGCTTACTAAACCAGAGGACAGCATTTAATAAATGATAACTCACAATCTTTTTTTGAATTGCTTTTTCAGTTGTTGAGTATCCTCTTTTCTTCTTCTTCTTCTTCTTCTTCCTCTTCTTCTTCTTCTTCCTCTTCCTCCTCTCCCTCCCCTCCCCTTCTTCTCCTTCTTCTTCTTCTAATTTTTAATTTTTGTACAAGTCAAAATAAGAGGCACCTGGGTGGCTCAGTCTTTTGGGCATCTGCCTTAGGCTCAGGTCATGATCCCAAGGTCCTGGGATCGAGTCCCACATCAGGCTCCTTGCTCACTGGGGAGTCTGCTTCTCCCTCTACCCTTCCCCCCTGCTTGTGATCTCTCTCACTCAAATAAATAAATAAAATCTTTTTTAAAAAAAAGTCAAAATAAGTTCACCTGGGTGTAATTGTACTCCTTTTACTCTTTCCTAGACTCATTTTGATTGATAACTACATTTTTGATTCAAAGTACCTGTAGGTCTCCAAACAAATGATTCTTTCTCTTGCCTCTCTTCCCCTTCCTGATATATATCAGCTATATTAAGATATAATCCACATGTGATACAAAGCAGTCACAGTATATAAGTATATTCACAGAGCTGTGGAACCTTGAACACAGTGGATTTTATAGCATTTTCATCACCCGGAGAAGAAACTCCATCCTCATTAGCAATCCTGTCCACTTCTCCCCCACCTTCTTCCCCTCCCTCGCCAATTAGTAATTGACTTTCTGTCTGTATGGATTTGCCTATTCTGAACATTTCATATCAGTGGAATCATACAGTATGTGGTCCTTTATGACTGGCTTCTTGCACTTAGCATGGTGTTTTTAGGGATCATCCATGTTGTAGTAATTCATTACTTTTCACTGCCAGTAATATTCCGTTGTATGGATATGTCACATTTTATTTATCCATTCATCAGCTGATGGACATTTGGGTTGTTTCCACCTTAGTTGCTAGAATTATGCTGCTGTGAACATTGATGCACAAGTTTTTGGGTGAACATGTGTTTTCCTTTCTCTTGGGTATGTAACTAAGGAGCGGAATTGTTTAGTGATATGGTAACTGTATGTTTAACTTTTTAAGACACTGCCAGACAATTTTCCAAAGTGCCTGCAACATTTCACCTTGCTACCAGTCATACATGAGAGTTTCAGTTTCTCCACATCCTCACCAACACTTGTTATTCTTGTCTTTTTGACATCCTTATAGCCAAGCTGGGCACTGTGAAGTGATACCTCACTGTGGTTTTGATTTGCATTTCCCTGATGGCTAATGATGTTGAGCATCTTTCCATGTGCTTTATTGGCCATTTGAATATCTTCTTTGGAGAAATGTCTGTTCAGATCCTTTGCCCATTTTTTTTCCTTTGCCCATTTTTTTAATTGAGTGATTTGTCTTCCTTTCTGTTGTCTTCATTTGGCCTGAACAGGATGCTGATATGCTCACTGGCGATGAGCAAGTATGGAAGGAAGTTCAAGAATCCTTGAAAAAAATTGAAGAACTGAAGGCACATTGGAGTATCCTTTTACCTGTGGACTGAGCCATACCGTTGGGACTGCTGCTTCTTTATTGGTTTGAGCGTGGCATTGATGAAGCCAAGTCCATGGTTTGACCTCTGTCTGAGCCAGTGAGTTTCATTCTGTTTCATGGTCAGAGGCTGCATCCCAAATCCCAGCCAACAGTTTGGGTAATGGCTAGGGCAGAGTATGGCAGGATCAGCATGAATACCTCACCACCATTAGATAGTAACCAAAACTCATGACCGGTAATAGGACAGTAAGTAGTAGTCTCTATATGTACTAGGTAACAGATTTCTGTATTCCTTTCCTCCCACAACCTACATCTCTAGGAAAGAATAACTTAGAATCCTAAAAAGTTAATATCATTGACTCTCAGATCTAGAAGTTTCGTATTAAATCAACCATGACTACCATGGCAGAGGGAGTTGCTGCACAGTAAATTTTCTGGGCATAAATAGTAAGGACCCATGAGTGGGTCAAAGTTCAGAGTAAGGAGAGAGCGCTTATGCTGGAGGTCATCTGGGGAGGCCACACTGATGTTGTACTGGGTAAGTGGTAGCCAAAGTCAAGGACAGGGTTTGAATGGACAGAGGCTGAGAGGGAGGTTGCTTCCGGTAGGGGAGTTCACTTGAGCAAAAAATGACAAAGGGAAACCCCAAGGCCAGAAGAAATAGACCAAGGTAGATGAAAAAGATAATGCAAGGTCCTTCAGATGCCATGGGGAAATTAGATCCCCGACAATAAGAACATCTCCAAATGAAGTTTCTATCTACAATGTTTTTTAAAGAGTGGTACAGAATAGGAGAGGTAGATGGACAAATTGCTCTTGTTTTTAAAGGTGAAAGAAGTATCTCCTGAAATCTGAACGGGGTGGGTTGTTTTTTGCTTGTTTGTTGAAGTTTGGTAAAGAATCTATAACTGATTACTAAAGAAATGGAAAAGGGAGCTGTGATCAGCCTGAGGCTGCGTGAATATACCAAGAGCAAGTGAGTCTGCAGAGACATGGATTTCTTTGGTAAAGTTTGTATGTGGATTTCAGGAAGAGGCTTAATTAAAAGCAGTCAAGAAATTGACGCTAGATGCTAGCATGGCCAGACAGCTTTCTAAATGCTTGAATGACTCTCCTGAGAAAATGATGCCCCTGGGGTCCCTGTGACTCTGGAGTGCTCTGTTCCCACCTTGGTCCTCTCCTGCCTTTGACTCTGGGCCTTGAATGGAGATACAGAGCACAGGGTCCTCAGATTCCCAAAGGTTATAGGTCGGGGAATGGCAGAGGTTGGGATGACAGAATCCAGAGCTCAAGATCCCCGAAGGCTTGAATGATGCCTGAATCTAAAAAGATGAAATTCAACAAGAATATATATAAAGTCTTCTATTTGGGTCAAAGAGTTTAAGTGTGTAAATAGACATCAAGCTTAGCAGTAGAACATGTGGAACAATTTTAGGGTTTTAGTACACAGCAAAATTTAATCAAGTTTAAGAGGATGATATAACCCCTCAAAAAGCTACTGCAATCTCGGGCTACATTAACAGAGACTAGGAAATAAGAAAGGTGATCTGTGAGTCTGATCATATCCAGAGTTTTGGGACCAGTTGGGAGTAGGGCATATTAAGAAGGATCTAGAAAAACTGAAATAAGTTGTGAGGAATGGAGCCAGGATCCAAATGGAGTTTGCAACCCTGTCTGTAGGCAGGATGGGAGATACTGGGAAAACAGTCAGATCTGGGAAGAAGAGGGGGCCCTTCTTGGGCTCAAAAAACTGTTCTTACTGCAGAGAAGTAGGATTGTTCTCTCTGCTCCCCAGCCATGGAATTGGGGCCCTGGATGACCCAGCCACAGTCGGGTCTCAGCGGGACAAGGCTTCACGGAAAAAGGACTCTGTGCCAAGTGATCTGCCAGTTGCAGCCCACTTTCTGGTGCATACAACCCTGCCCTCACAACTCTCACACCTGCTTTGGTACATACATACTTGAGGGGCATCAGAGGCACAGTGGTCAACTCTGGGAGGTAAAAGAAGGTTCCACAGAGGAGGTTATCATTCTATCTGCTTCGGGGAGGCTCTCCACCCCTTTTCCAGCTAGAGCTCAGCTCCTCCCTGGAACAGAATGACGTGTATGCAACACCAAACAAATAGCAGGGACTATATTTTTGAGCAAATACAATGTCAGCATCCACTTGGGGGAAAAAGCCTCTTAGTTAAAATTATTCAATTTTTTTGCTCACTGGGGTGTTTTATAGGAGAGGGTTGCCTTGTTTGCCAGCAGACAGTTGCCAGGGTTGCAAAGGAAAATGGGCATGTGGTCCCTTCCAGCTTGTGGGGTATAAAGTAGATGTATTCCTATCAGTGGCTGCAGAATATCACATCTGGTTTTTATTTCTAAGGCTTGTCACCTAAAACCTCTTTCAAATGAGTTGGAGCATATATAAATGAGTGGGCGAATAGTCATGGAGGTCAAACAACACAACGTTAAAATAAGGCGCAAAGTCTTGCCACAGAAATGTCTAGCGTTGTGTAAGAGACAGTCATTCCTCCTGACAGTTTGTCAAATATCTAATCCTGGAATGAAAAGCCACAGAGGTTAGCCCAGCAATCTGTTACAAAATCAGTGCGTTGCCTGAGATACTGTTCCCCCCAACCTCTGGGGATCCATTCAGCACACTTTATCCATACACGTCAGATGAATACAAAAGAAGTCACTGACTCACTTTTCTTCAATAAATGCACCTCGCCCGAGACCAGAGTCAACTCCTCAGAGACCGGACTCATCCTAAAATTACAGTGTAGTATACAAGAAGTGTGAAATAAAGGCCTTCGGCTGTGCGTTGTGGTGCTTGCGAATCTCACCAAGGAAGTCGTGCCTTGGGGGTAGGGTGCTATGCCTCCAGGGGGCCCCCACTGAAAAGAAACACGCATTTCCCATGAGGGTTCATAAAGACATTAGTCCCCACTCCCACAGGCGGCTTGACTGGATTATTACAAGTGTTTGCTAACGTCCTGGAAGGCAGCACCACCGGGTGGCAGGGAGGTTAGGAGGGGTGGATGTTGCGGGGGTGAGGGGGCAGGATAAAGGGGCGCTGGAGCCTGCCCTCAGTTCAGGGCGGGACAGAAGAGACTGGGCTGTGTGGTGGTGGCGAGGGGTGTGGGTAGATGGAGGTTCAGTCCACTGGACCATTTTCCTTATGCCTAGTCGCTGTCAGAGGTCACGTGGCTTTAAGCGCTCCGGCGACATCCTCAGAGCCTCAGATCTGACCAGTGACAGAAGTAGCTCAGATTGAAATCCAGCTTTAGCCCCAGCCAAAGGCTCTGCCATTTCTGCTGCATCTGAAATCTGCAACCCCTTTCGCTCGAGTGGAGTACGGCTCCTGAAAGCAGGAGGATGTGGAGCTGTGCAGGTGGAAGGGGGTGGGGGGGACCTGTACCTCCCCAGCACCTAACACCCCAACAGCAGCGCAAGAAGAGAAGTGTGTGTGTCCCAGGAGCCCGCACTCTGGCCTGCAGCTGTGCTTCCATGGTGTTCAGAGGGGGGGAGGGGGGGAGGCATTCAGGGCACACTCCACGCTCCCTACGGCACATCCTCAGGCCTCTGGCTGCCTCCCAAAGAGGACAGGGAACACTAGCAGTTTTAAAAAAGGGTGATCACGGGATGCCTGCGTGGCTCGGTCAGTGAAGCATCTGCCTTTGGCTCAGGTCATGATCTCAGGGTTCTGGGATCGAGTCCCGTTTGAGAGCATGTGCTCTCTCTCAAGTAAATAAATGAAATCTTTTTAAAAAAATAAAAATAAAAAAGGGCAATCACACCAAGGCTCCACAGGAGGAAGTTATGGACTCACAGCGACTCAGAGTTGCTCATAAGTGGGCATTGGGTCTTCTTTCTGTCCTTTTTAATTTTTTTTTTTTTTTTTTTAGAGATTTATTTGAGAGAGAGAGCAGGGGGATGGGGCAGAGGGAGAAAGAGAATCTCCAGCAGACTCCATGCTGAGCGCAGAGCCCAGAGCCTGTCAAGGGGCTCAATTTCACGACCCTGAGGTCATGACCTGAGCCCAAGTCCAGACTCAGACACTTAACCAGCCCTGCCACCCAGGTACCCCTCTCTGCCCTTTTTAAACCTGCAGTTTATGTGCATGAGCCCTGTTCTTAATACTATCTTTCACTGGGCGCCTGGGTGGCTCAGATGGTTAAGCGTCTACCTTAGGCTCAGGTCATGATCCCAGGGTCCTGGGATCGAGTCCCGCATCGGGCTCTCTGCTCCTTGGGAGCCTGCTTCTCCCTCTGCCTCTCTCTCTCTGTCTCTCATGAATAAATAAATAAAAATCTTTAAAAAAAATTATCTTTTACTTTGGAGGTTCAAAATAAGAATATCTTTTTTTTTTTTTTGGTTAAGTATAGGCTTGGATCCCTTTTGTTTTATAATAAAAAAAACTTCAATATGAGACCCAGTGGAGATGTATTTCTTCGAGTTGCTTCCTTCGTTCGTGCCTGTGGGTTGTGTACTTGGCTTCCTGTGTGCCCGAGGTTCGGATGACACAGAGGCAAAAATGAGCTCCTCCTTTTTAAAATGGAATCCGTCTAAAGTTTCTTCCATTTTAGATCCGTTTTATAACAGAAGCTAACACAGTACATAATTTAAACTGAACTAACCGAATCGGTAGTTCAGCTTAATACACAGCTGCATTATTTCATGGCTGGCTTTAAAAAGAATCCATATAGGAGTACGAAGAAAGAAGGGTTCTTTGGAAATCCTGATCCCCCAAAGTACAGGCTTGGTTGGAAGATGATTTGTTGATGTAAACAGAATTTGCTTCTCTGAGATGCCACTTAACCGTTTTTGTTTCTCAAGTATGTTTTCAGGCAGCTCATCTGTGTAAAATAATGGGCTCTTTCTTCCCTCCTGTGCCTGGGAGCTCTTCAGCCTTGTAGAGAATCTCATTTTACTTGTTTTCTTGGTGAAGACAATGAATCCTTAACTAAGGTTAATAACAGAGTGGGAACAGGTGCTGGCCATGTGCCAGACGATCATTAGCAGCAACGCCGAACGCCTTCCCGACATCAACATCTACCAGCTGAAGGTGCTCGACTGTGCTATGGATGCGTGCATCAACCTCGGTCTGCTGGAGGAGGCCTTGTTCTATGGGATCCGGACCATGGAGCCGTACAGGTGAGTCATCAGGAGAGGGCCAGAATCGAGGCTGCAGTGTCTTCTCTGAGCCGGAAGACTGACATCCTGAAGTCACTTGGATGGTCACTTTTTTATTGTGCGTCCCCATTTTGTTCGTTGCTCCTGAGGCTCGTGTCGCGTGTCAGGCTCTGTGGCGGTGTGGAGACTGATGAAATGCTGTCTCTGTGGAGTCGGGGATTCCAGTGTTGTGTGCTGCTTGCGGCAACGAGGCAGAGTGCAGGGGGTGGGCAGCCGCGGGGGCGCAGGGCTCGGCCCCAGCTTGGCCGGGGGGGCTGTGTCATTTGCCTTTGGGGCCCTCGGTCTGGCTGACTGATGGTGGTCTCTAACGTTTGTCACGGCTTTATGGTTCCCGGGGTGCTTCACTGGAATCAAGGGACCCCATAACCGCCTTCTGACCCACTCAGGAGAGCGGGGAGACCTCGGTGCTCAAACGTGTCAGCGAGTCAGGTGAAGGAGCAGTTGCTACTTAGTTGTTTCTTGACTGTCCGCAGCTCCTTCAGACCAGGGGTGTGTTGTCCCCTGATGCCTTTGTAACTCACAGGAGCTTTGGCAGCGCTGAAGTCTGGTGCTGGTGGGTGCGGGACCCCATTTGCGGAGGGTCAAGAACGTGAGTTTGGAAGTCGAGGCAGATCAGTCCGGAGGGAAGGGCACGGCGTCATTCATACTGTCAGCTGAGGTGGGAGCAACCATCTCGAGCATAGGACAAGGTCCCTCACTGCTGGGAAGGCGCCCTGAAGCCTGGGGGGCAGGGGGCGGGGGAGGTCCCTGAGAGCAGGGGCACCATTCTGGGTGGCACTGAAGGCCAGGCAAACACGATGTCTGCCCTGAGGGGCCAAGCAGAGGGACAGCCCAGCTCCCAGCCTTCCCCGCAGGGGGCAACAGGTAGGAGAGGGGCTCTAAGTGAAGGAGGGTGGGCAGCAGGGTGCACAGACCAGCCACGGCCCCGGGCCCCAGGGTGCCCCAAGGGTGGTTTTTTTTTTTTTATAAAGATTTTATTTCTTTGACAGAGACACAGCAAGAGAGGGAACACAAGCAGGGGGAGTGGGAGAGGGAGAAGCAGGCCTCCCACTGAGCAGGGAGTCTGATGCGGGGCTTGATCCCAGGACCCTGGGATCATGACTTGAGGTGAAGGCAGATGCTTAATGACTGAGCCACCCAGGTGCCCCCCGAGGATGTTTTCAGAGCTTCCGAAGGTGGCTCCTTCCCCTGCTTGCGGTCGAACAGCTCTGGAATCCAGACTGTGAGTCAGCTCGCATCAAACTTGCAGGCGATTGCCTTCAGGGCTGAGATGGTAGACTTTCCCATGAGCGTCAAATGTCTGCTCGGGATGATGAATCTTGTGGGTTTTCAGAAAATATGAACCGAGCACAAAGAGATAAGGCTTCGTTCTCTGAGCCTAGGTGTTGCAATAAGAGGCAGGTTGGGATGGCTGGTGTCGCTTCTCTGAACCCCAGGGCTGGGTCTCAGGAAGCCAAACCATGGGCTAAGCGGATGGACTGTAGCCGGGAGACACAGGCCAGGCAGACCCTCCTTCCTGCAGGCGCCCCCGCAGCCCCTCGCCCCACACTCTGGCTAGCGCTGGACCTGCACCCGCTCTGGCTGCCCCAGCCCCCATATCCACCCCTAGGCTGCCCTCTGGGCTGCTCTGACCACAGACAGACACTCGACACTGGTCCCCCACCTCGACGGTGCTGCTTCTGCACACAATTTTGAATCATCTCCCCACACCTATCATGGCTTCTCTGAAGGACTAATTTACCCCTTAATTAACTGACTTGAGTCAAACAGAGAGGCCTTTCTCGTGAGGCCACGTCCACTGGAATGGACTCCATGTTGTTTGGAATACATCTGGTTATATTTTCCTGGTGTTTGGCAGATCACACTCTGTGCTTACGCCGGGTGACAGATTTCCTAGCCTCCCTCCGTTTCTTTTCCCTGGAGCTTGTTAAGAAGTAGCTGTGCAGTGATCTATATTTCCAGAAATCCCGTCTTCATTGATCGATCCACTTTGAACCAGTGGGTTCTGACCGGTTTGCTTGCAGCAGTATTTATTGTAGGGGAAGTAAGCCAGCACCGATGGGGCAGTGAGGGGGATGCTGGCGTACTTGGCCTTTCTTCCCGTTAGCTCAGCAAAAGTGAAAACAAGGAACAAATGGATGAGATGCTCTGCAAGCCCTTTAACAATCCGGAGGCAGGAATCCGAGAGTTGGTGGTGGTTTCCGTCCCCCACATGTGTGTGAGCCTGTGGGCCGCCAGCCACCGACTCGGTCTCCCCACAGATGCGCAAGGTGGGCCCTCGGGTCCCCTTTAGCCAAGGACGTGGGCAGTTAGCTCGGCATGAGTTACTGAGAGGCGACGGGACTGCCACCTGCTCTAACCGTTTTACAGTGTTAATATACTGTTTGCAACAGCTAGACTGAGGTCAGGACTCTGGGGATGATATTCTCCCTCTGGACCTGGGCTAAATTTTAACTACTGACTTTAACGGAGAAGGTGTCCACATTCTGGTTTTATCCAAATCACCGCATTGCTCTCGGCTCCCTTCTTGCTGCTGTCATTTATTTTGACTTGATAGAAGGAAGTTCTTTTATGACGCAACACAGTATTAAGATCTTTGTTTCATGGGGCGCCTGGGTGGCTCAGTCAGTGAAGCGTCTGCCTTCAGCTCAGGTCATGGTGCCGGGGTCCTGGGATGGAGTCCCACTTCGGGCTCCCTGCTCAATGGGAAGTCTGCTTCTCCCTCTGCCTGCCGTTCTCCCCCTGCTCGTGCTCGCTCACTCTCTTTTTCTTTCTCTCTCTCAAATAAATAAATTAAATCTTCAAAAAAAAAAATCTTTGTTTCATGAAGTAGGTTGGCATTAATTCACACACAACAGAATTTATCATCTTTAGCTCATACTGTTTCTTCTGAGAGCATCTGTGATTATATATGCATGGTCATCTGTCCTGTAGCTCTATGAACATTAAGCAGAAAGAAAGCAGTTTAAGCGTATTTCATAAATTTTCATTTAAAAATGTAATTAAATAATCTTAACCACAAGATGAATTGAGTTGCAAAAGTTCGTTTGCCAGTGGTAATGTAGAGCTTGGGAAGCATTTTCCTGCTGAAGAAGGCATTAAGGGTTATGGTGGTGTCACCAGACCAGCCCTTGAAACTCTGGATCCTAATATCGCTGGTGTCTGCTACACATTTGTGTAAAAATAAAAAGAAGGAAATATAAAAACAAAACAGTATAGTTTTAAACTTAAAATTTATATTATGTTGAATATAAAATCAAACTCGATTTTCTTTAGGACCCAGAGAAAGATCTAGAGATACAGAGGCTTGTTAAGGCTTTGGGGAGGACTTTTGGTGTATCCACACGTGTTCTGGTAACTTAACTTTTGGTTTAAGAATAGCATAGACTTCTAGGAAAGCACTTTCCTAAAGAACACAAATAAAAATTACCCTCATCTTTCAAACTCCTGTTCCACTCCCTAAAGATAACCATGGTTAAATTTCTTTCCTAAAGTTTTCAGTGTGTGGTGTGGTTTTCAGTGTGTTCATTTATAACACACTTGCCTAATTTTTTCAAGCCCCGGTTCTTCTCTCTTTTCGCCAGTGGTTCTCACATGCTCAGAGACTTTTGTTTTCCCTCTGTCTCACTTCTCTCCTCAAAACTGCTCACTCGGGCTCTTCCCTTTTTCTCCTTCTCCTGTCTGTCTCTCCTCGTCTCATCTTTCTTGTGGAGAGACTCAGTTCCAGTCTGCATCTGCTAGATGTGTCTAGTGAGGTGGTGGGTGAGGAAGGGAGAAGGGAAAGAAAAGCCAAGAAATCTACTGAGTGGGCAGAGAGAAGAAAATCCCCTGTTCTGGAACTGGCTGTTTTCACTTTACTACAAAGCGTGGACATCAGTCCAGATCAGCTCCTGAATATCCACCTTCCTTTTTAATAGGTCTATAGAATTTCATCTTAGGAATGTACCATAATTTGTAAACTAGCCCCTACTATTTCCATTTCCGTTTACTGTATCAAGAAATACTGCCGTTAACATCCACATAGTTGAATCTTTGTGTACTGATGGGACCAACTCTATAGGGCAAATCCATGTGATAAATTCCTAAATGCTAACTCACTGATCAAAATGTACGTTCATTTTAACTGGAGATAGCAACCCCCAAATTGTGTCCGCCATCCACAATGTGTCACTTTCCTCAAAAGCACTGAGAACGGGTGACATGATGTTGATTATATCTGATCTGAATTCATCTCAAAATACGTAGGGGTCTTCCCCTCTTCCTTGACCAAAGCCTGCTCTTACAGGATGAGATTTGCTGGTATTGACCGACAACATAGTATTTTGTGGTGGCGGGAAGGACATTTTTGTGAGTGTCCTGGGAAGACACTCAAACAAGTGGGTGTGGAATCATTTTTGTGAGTGTCCTGGGAAGACACTCAAACAAGTGGGTGTGGAATCAGACTGGGGAGCAATGTGACTCCCGCTCGTGGATTGAAAAGCATGATCTCCGCTCATGTGGAGTCCGGTGCCTTGCTGGCCGCCATGGTGGCAGAGCGGGAGTGGAAGGCTCTGGGAGTCTGTGCATGTGACCTGTTTCCCAGCCAGGTGTTTGGGACTCTGAGATCGCCAGGGGTCACACAGCAGCCCTGCCGTTTTCATTTTGCCGGTGATTCTTGAACGTTCCCCCCACCCCGAAGCTTTCGCAGATAGGTTGATAGAATGCAAGTACCCGCCACTGCTGTTTTCAAGCCGACTTCTCTTCTGAAGACCTGCAGTTGCTCTTCTGTGTGTTTTTTGTCATCGATCGATATGACGTGGTGGTCCAGGACCCAGTGGGGCGTGCAGGTACCGTGCGGACGCAGCAGAGAGCTGGGCACGGTCACTCACCAGGCACTTACCTGGGCCTGCTTGTGCCCGACCTGCATCTCTGCGCCCCACAGATGTGGTTAGGTTGCCCTGTGATGATGCTTATGTCCGTGT